AATTGTTACAGAGGGGGGTTCTTGGTGGTGGCAGAGGGGGCGGGGGTATTCATGGCGCGGGGGGTGTAAGTGGGGTGAGGTGGTCGGGAGCACTTGTGATTTACGTGCGGACGTGAATGTATGTGCGTGTATATACGGAAGAGGGCAGTATAATAGCAAACGAGACTAACACAACGCCAGATCGAGACCGCTGTCTTGAGATGGCCTCCTAGGGCTAGGGCTGGCCGGTCGCAAGAAAAGCCTCTCGTCTTGCCTTCTGGCTTCGAGTCGATTTAATTCTTCCGTGATCGCCGTGTGGCCGTTCTCCGCCGCTAACTCGGTCGCGCTTCTATTCTGGCAATCCCTCACACGAAGCGCCATCGCGTTCCATCTGCGCAAACAGATTAAAATTTCTTTAGAAACGGGTCGATTAATTTTTTGCAAACCGTATCAGCAGAAACAACTAAAATTAAATTGAACATTTTTATGGAAACGGTTAAAGATATCGGTGAGATGCATACCTATACAATATCCTGGCAGTATCCGCGTGTCCCGCGGCACAAGCCCAAGCAAGTGGCGTAAGACCAGCGCTATCTTGCCTGAGGGCATCAACTTCGGCATCTAATACGCTACTAGGATTTTCCGCTCTCCAGTGGAGGAGGGCGCAGGCTAACCTGGAGTAGCCCAATCCAGCGGCCAAATGCAACAGGGTAGGGCCACCGGATTGTAACGGTTCCGCTCCGGCTCGCCACGGACGGACAACAGCATCCTGAAATCCAGAGAACGAAACAAGCTGAATAAATAAATAACCACACTTACCAAAGAAAAGAGAGTATTGAAACGTTAACACTTGCGTCAACACTCCACTACCTCTTAATTAATTAGTTCTTTATTTGTAACGTCTCGTCCATGAGATCATGATCCTGAAAGGATAACATAACTCTGGAAATGATTGTACAAGTAAAATATAGTGTCAGGAGAGAGTACGATAATAAAGAATTACAAAATAATAGAAAAGTTCTCGTTGTACGTGCTCCATCTTTCTCGTTTAATTTGATTTTACTTCCGGTGGCATGAGATAAACTCTAAATAAAGAAACTGCCGGTCAGCAATGTGTTAAGATGATACCAACCTGACAATACGCGACTAGTCGCTCTTCCAAGTGAACCGCGGGCGACGGTGGACCAGGCCCCTGAAGACGAGACTCCACGTCCGCCAAACGGTCCAAGAGAGCTCTCTCTGGACTTGGCTCGGACGTCGGTGCTCTTCGATACTCGAAGGCAACGCTGTCAGAGACGACGAACCCGTCGCACGCGACCTGAAGAGACGCTATGCCTGGAGCATGAGCAGGACAACGGCAACGCAAGACACCTGGCTGCACCAAGCAGGCTTCAACCGGTTCAGCGTCGAACAACACCGAATACGATTGAGAGTTACTGCCACCGGTCCAGGGGCCAGCAACCAATACCTGTGACGAAAACAAAATTCCTGTCACACGATCTATACAGATATAGTAAAATGCATATTATGGATAAACATTCGACATCGGAGCTGCTTGATCCCAAGCCTTCTTCTATAGGAAATAGATTTCAATAGAAAGGCGTACCCGAAGCAAGGCCTACCAGAAAAGCTTTACCAATAAGTTTTCTAGCAAATCTAGGGTCTAACGCCTTAATCATGTAAATTCCCCTACATTTATTTTTTACCTAAACTACTCACTGATCAACCAAACCAAACGAAACTCAGTAAAACAGATCTTACCTTCACACCACCCTCGGTGTAACTCCACTCCGGACTATACTCCGCAATATGGACGGTTGTTCCAGGATGACATCCCACGTCGTTATCGGATTCGCCTCTCCCCTCGGCCTTGGTCTGTTCGGCCTCGAAATCGTGCAGCTCCGGTAGATCGCCAAACACGTCGAACGCGTCTAAATTAACCAGAACGTCGTCCGACGAGTCGATGAAGTCCATCGGGTTGATCATGCTATTGTCCGCCGGTGACGGCGACGGGGAAGGTGGCACCATGTTGGCGGATAACGTTCGCTGGATGTCCTCTTGACTTAGATCCAAGGTCTCGGCGAAATCGGTGACCTCTGTGCCAGCGCCACCAATTGGCAACGTTTGCACCGAGGAGCGATCCATACTCTCCTGGGCGTCGATCTCCTGTTGGGTCTGTTGTTCTCTGTCGACGCTCGTCTGTTGTACGATTTGTTGCTCCGTGACCTGTTGCATCTCCACTTGTTGGCTTTGCTGCTGTTGCTGCTGCTGTTGTTGTTGTTGCTGCTGCTGCTGTTGTTGTTGTTGTTGCTGCTGCTGCTGCTGGTGATGGTACGGTTGGCTGTTGAGTATCAGAAGACCGCCGCCGCCTTGAATCTGTTGCAAACTTAACACTAGAGGAGCCGGCTGTTGGCTTTGAGTCGTATGGGAATGTCTTGAGTATACGCGGGGAGCCGGTGAGGCTGTTGTCGACGTTTGCTGACCTCCGGTAGTCGAGGAAACCTGATCGTTAACACGGGAGAAGAAGGGAAATCGTGAAACGGAGTTTAGAAACTAAACACCGCGGGCCGAGCTATTGAATACCTGAACGAGTTGCTTGGTTTCAATTCAAGCTTAGCATTCGAGCTGGAAATGGAGGAATTATGTTAATGAAGTTATTCGTGAGTAGACTGTTGATGTTTATGCAAATTCATATTTTTACAGAGGACGAATTGAAATTTAAGGAGAAGCGTCGTAGCTTCTAACCAGAGTATTTTATTTTTGATATTTTTGATATTTTTCATTTGTACACATTCTCGTACATCTTCTCATATGTTCACCCGTCACAAGTGCATGGGCAACAGTCTGTTCACAAAAGTATGGAATACGAAAATTCGAATTACGAAATTGAAATTGAAATTAAAGTTAAGGTTGGTATTAATGAACTGTTCAAATGGGATGGTGTTCCCTTGAAACCAAGAAATTCGTTGCTTTCTATCGTCAAGGATGGCCAGGTTGGCCTCTCTGAAATGCCATCCTCTATACAGGGTGGGGCACTTGAATGGGAACACCTGAATATCTCCGTTATTTATGGTTCTGTGAAAGAAACCTTTAAGACTAAGTTGCGCTGTTTAAAATGGCACGTGTAACAATAGGAGAAATTTTGTCGTTGTAAATCACAGCGTATTATTGAATCGAAAAACCATAAATTGTCTCAAAACTAGACACCTCTGCCTGTGGTATGACATTGAATTTTTTCGATATACCAAAAAATTAGGAAATGTCAGGCCCTTGGAAATTTCTGAATTCTACGAAAAAGTATTACTTATTCATTGAAGCCTTAACCCCTTGCACTCTGCGCCATCTCGTTGCAAAATGTGCGAACAGAAATCGCATTCCATAAAATAGATCTAACTTTAAAAACATGTCTTTTCTGGTATTATTAAACTTGATTATAAACTCTTAGAGCTTTCTTGAAGCGTTCACACTACTGCAAATATAAATCCTTTTCATGTCAGACTTACGACGTCCCTTCATAGGGGACATCCGAGTGCAAAGGGTTGAAAAGACGATTAAACAAATTCGTACAGTGTTGTGTTTCTTCAAGTGCCCCATCCTGTGTACGGCAAGTGTCGGATCCGGTTACCTGATTGTCCGGTGTTAGTCTCCTAGGTGCAAGCTGAGTGCTGGTGGTGGAGGAAGTGGAGTTCGCTCGCTGCCTGTCCAACAGTTGCGAAACTATCATGTCGACGGGATGATTCGAGTGTTGTGTGAGATGAGGATTGTTCGGATCGTCATCTCCACCGAGGAACATGGGTCTGAGTTGCGAAGCCAGCTCGTCTCGCGTCCATTCTTTCTTGTCTGGCGGCAGTGCGAGACACGGTGGCAGCGCCGCTAGCTTTGCATCACCGTCCGGGTAAGGAACGTTTAAGTAGTGAACGAGAACGACGTCTGGATTCTGCAGTAGCCAATAACATCTCCGATGAAACGTCGGAAGGATTGCCGAGTGCACGTAACAGCCGTAGATGCACTCGACCCCCTGGACCTGCGATTCGACCGAGAACAAATCTCAACTCCGACCGACTCCCTGGACCGCGATCACTTTCGTTCGTTAAACAAAGCGCTACCTTCAGTTTCATATGATCCTCCCGTGTAGTCTTGCCGTCTTTTCTCTTCTTCCAGCAATAACCGTCCCGCCGGTAACGGACTTTCTTTCTCGAATACAGTAACATCGAACCACTGCGCGGTCGCACCTTCACCTCCCGACTTTGCCATTCCGCGTGCCTTTGGAAACTTATCAGAATGGCGGCGATCTCCTGATGACAAATCGTAAGGTTTCAATTAACATCAGAACCGGGCGTGGTATTTAAGAACCGTGTTATTATCTTAAAACCCGTACCGGCGATTCCCGTGTAATTTGTCGACAGAGGGAAACAACCGTAGGACCAGGAAACACGTTGGAACGCGGGCATGTCGAGTTCCCTTTTTGGCACGAGGGCCAATTTGCACTTTGTTACCGTGTCGAGGGCCCTGGACGTGTAATTATCTTGCAACCGGCAACGGTATTTTAAGGACATTTGTTTTCGGTCGCGGAGAAGTGTTAGTCAAAGAGAATTTTCAGTCGAAGGAGTTGGCACTACAAACAACTGTTTCGCTTTATTGAACGTTAAACTCGTGTGAGCATAAAATTACCAACGCGTTTAAAAACTGCTTCGCATCGCGATACGTGATTCATTTATAATAAACAATAATTCGAATTTTGATTTAGTATTCAACTATCCTTGAGACTTGTTCAGTTACAATTTCTATGAGCAATTCGACACAATAAGTAACCGAAAGTATTGCAATATGACGTGGTCACTAATTACCTCGTGGTTGATGTGACCTTAAATGAAGTAATCAAATAAAAAAAAAAGTATCGACATTTGCAGAAACATTACTTTTTGGTCCCCCTAATATAACCTGTATCGCCAATTAAACAAGATTAATCTTCCTTGAATATGAAATTACAGTATCATACACGTCCATCCCTTCCCACGCAGTGTTTCGTTTTATTCGATTCGCGTTACATCACGGGTACGCGACACACTTAGAAAGTGCAACCGGAAACTTCTCAAGATGACGAGGATAAGGGAGCCTCGGGAGAGAAGTGGGATACACGGATTCGAGGAAACATATAGACACTCTTCAGCCAGCCCCGCTGACATCTGCCTTTTCCGTGGATTTCGCTTACTTTTGCAAATCGCGCTGATACATCTCCGATCTTGCCGCGATTCTCGCGCTTCGCGGTGTCGGGGAGCCGCGCAAAATATTCGCATACATTTTCGCGGGCCGCGCCGAGGGATTCCCGCTGTCGAGGGGGGCATGCAAAGTAAGGGGAACGGGGTGAAATATGAATCGCAAACTCATCGTTGAAAATCATCCCCTGGAGATCGTTTATTATCTGCGAACCTTTCTCGCGGCGTCTAGATAAAAGAGAGTTCGCGGACGAGTTTGAATAATACGCCACGCGGGTCAGAAGCGAGATTTTCGGATTAATGATTCATCCGCTGGAACTCTGCTGGAATCTGTGGCCCGATGGGGGCGAGCCAGAGTTTAGGGGTGAAACTGCGCCAATCGTCTTCAAGAATAGATCAATCTTGGAGAATTTTTAACATGGAGACGATTTAATGTAGAAAGCCCTTTGAAATTGCGAATAAAGATAGTTTGAGAAGGTACTCTTTAGAGGCCATTTTTATGATTTTTTTACGGTCAAAGTAATTGACGTAGACTTTTGAAATTTTGTAGATTTGTTTATATATGTACAGTCGTTCCCATAAATATTTGTACCCTCCATGCCTATTGAAGAATTTTGACTGAATTAAATAATAGTTTTGCTATTACCATATGAAGTTTTCATTACAAATATGCATATGAGTAAGCTTATGCGTGTATCTTATGCGAGAGCAGTAAAAATGCTATGGTTTCACTTCCAATGTTATTTTCGATGTAGTCAGAGATATAAGAAAAACGTGAAGAAAAATCGTCCCTGAAGAGATTAAGGGAAGATTTCATTTTTTCACCGAACATGTAAGACGAGAAATGGAACCTCGTAACCTAGAGGTTCTTCGTGAACTTACGAATGAAACTGCCTGAATATTTAAACAATTTTTGAAAGCTGCTCAGGGTCCTCAAAACAACTGCGCTTTCGACGTCTAGAGTTGAAACTCCGTTACGGTCAGGAGATCGCCTGGCCAGGACCAATTAATGGCGACACGACCCGTCTTCCACCGCAAACACCCTACCCTACCGTTGCCAGAACACCCTGTATATACAATTACAGACGAACACTGTTCAGATTTCGCGTGGTTAATCATGACACGTCGTTCTCCGGTACCCCGGGACTGCACGTTGCGCCGTCGAACATGCAACCTCGTGAGAGTTGGAGTGGAGAGAAATAAGGATGGAGAAAAAAAAATACGCGCAAAGGGAATAAGAGAAAGAATTCGGTCGTATAAATATTCGAGGAACGGTCCCGAGATGGTTATCCCGCAATTTCCATCGGCGAACGACAAGAATGGAAGAAAGCAGCCTCCCAGGGAAAGGGAGGGCAAAAAATTGAACACCCGGAGGTGAAATAAGTAAGTGCGCGGCCAGAAACGCCGCGGCACGCGATCTGACGTGGGCAAATGCAAATCGAACGCCAAACTGCGGCTGATTCGCCTAACCATGGAAAGGTGGCTGGCAATAAAATTCTACCGGCGTTGATATAAAGTTCAGGCGGCGCTTCGCGTGTCGCCTTCGTTTGGAAAATCGCTGCCAATCGGCTCGACTATTCCACAGGACCATAGATTCAGTTTGTTATTAACGCTACATCTACACGTCTCATTTGTACCTATTTCTACCCTGATCAGGCGAATGATTAATCTTATAAATCCTTGTTTTTTTATTAAATGCAAAAATATTTGACGTGGTGCTAAATTAAACAATGCATGAAACCCTCTATGTCTATTGAAGAAATTTGTCTAAATTAAATGATAGGTTTGATGTTTTCGAATCACTGTTTTATCGTAAATATGTACATGAATAAACTTTGCGCACGTATACATTTATAATGAACAATTTTGTAGAAGAATTTAAGAAATACTATTTGCTATACATATATCGGCTACATTCGGAATTTTACATAATATTCCATATTTCGAATGGATTTTTACAGAAGCGATATATTAAGGAAATCCTCTTATATGCACGAAGAGGTATTCAACAATAAAATGATATTATGTACACAGGGTCACCGCTAAACTTGAAGATCCGAACGAAGGTCGAACTTATCCCGTTCGGTCCATCTATTGTAACAGCCAGAAAAGAAATTTGGCTCGCGTCTTTATTACCCCGTCGAATCCATTGTTAATTTCAACCGTCCGTTGTACTAACAACCGACACAGTTCAGTCTACATGAAATATGATCCACGTAGCGTACTGCCAAATTCAAATTCATATTTATTACTATTTCTTACAGAGACAGCGTACTTAATCCAAATAGTACACGTTTGCTTGATGCTTCACATAATTTAACAATATTCGAATAGAGGTGTATCGAAAGAGAAACGTTTTCAATCCTCTACGTAGTCATCCTCGAATGAAAACTTAAAATTTCCATGTACAAAAATTATATTTTGTATCATTTGAATAGCTCCGATTAAACTGAGTAACATTTTCTTCAACTGTTTTTATTGAATTATGCATAATTACTCTTACATTACCACATCAGTCCCCTTTTCCGTTGCAATATCGAGAATAGTCGAAGAGATATCGCGAGATAATTGAAGGTACACGGCCGCAACCGGGGAGGAATTTCTCGTACGTTTTCCTCTGACAGACAGTCACTGATTGGGGGTCGCTCATTTGGCAAGCGGAACCCACAAATCGTACATTACAAATGAGGTATGGTAAGATCGCGCTCGCTTGCGGCGATGTCGCATTACGTCGACGAATCGTGTTGGACCGTTTAGGGGTGGAGAGTCAGTCGTGTTTCATTTCCAATGAAACGAATGTAACGAAATTACGGCGAAAAGAGTAACGCGAGAATAAGTTATCGAAAACAATACCTGAACCTTGTATCATTAACAACAGTAGTTATTCATTTAAAACCTTGGTATGATTCTCAGTTCAATCCTTAGGTTTGATGATATACGTAAAATAAAAACGATTACACATTAAAGGGGCACGGGAAAACAAATGAGCTATTATTTCAATTTAGAGGAAATGTGCGATTTTGAATACAGTACATTTTTTTTTTAGTTTGGATAATACGACTTCTGTGGTCACGTGAGTTTACTGTATATTAACAATAATCAAATTAACAAATGGGCAAATTCGAGAAGTTCGATATTCGGCTATTTTTGCCTGTTGCATTTAAAACACCTGGCATCATGACACCCCCTTTGCAAGGGCACTAGAAGATGACGAAGTGGAAACATTTTTCAAATCAGTCAAAAGAAGACTACACAATATTCCAGATGAATAAATATTCATCTATTTATTGACACCGCCGTTAATTTTCCCGTAGGAAGAGTAATCCTTCAAACGCAGGAGTCCTTCCACGTATAAGTTTAGCCTAATCCAGAACAGTTAATTTAAGAGCAATGGACTTAACCTCCCCAAATAACTCGAGGGACGTAAAGCATTCTGTTATAGCCCAGAAAAAAAAAGAATCAAGGGAGGTGGAACACATCGCGAGGTAATGTACGTTGGAATAAAATTATCGAGAATCCCTGTCTCATTCTGGAAGATAATCGTCGAAGGAAAGACCAGCGGAGAAGAAGGTAGGAACGGAGAAGAAAGAGGGAAAGAGGAACAGAAGTGTGGTTCGGAGTGCTTAATAACTTTGCACCGTTCCCGAGGGTGGGCCTTGGAGTCTCCAAAGGTTCTCCAGCGAACGTGGCCTGGATATAAATATTCTTAACGAGGGATGGATGAGAACGAGCGAGATGGGTAACTGGAGTGGCTGGAAAGAGGGAAACGGAATAAGAGCCCAAGCAAGGCTCCGCAGCCATTAGACCTGCCGAGCACCGACAACGAGGCTAGATAAAGCCAGCCCGCTGTGTTCCATTGATTTACAACTGGTTAATTGATCATTTGCATTCTGTCGGGGATACATTGCGCGGCTGTCCGCGCACAGAAACTAGAACTTCTGACCCCGACTTTCGCCCGTGAATTCCTGAACACCCTGCACCCCTCCTCCTTCGATCACCTCGACGTTTCCCAACACTTTTTCGTCCTAACGTACCTTCTCGGTCCAACGGCCCTCCCAAAATGCATAGTCGAATAAAAG